GGAAAGGTTGCAGGAGGGTTTGGGGCTTCTTAGTTTCGGCAGCGGTTCTCAAACTGTGGGTCCCTAGATATTGTTGGACTAAAACTCCCATCATCCCTGAGCTCTGGCCTTGCTAGCTAGGGGTGATGGGAGTTGTAGTCCAACAACATCTGAGGACCCACAGGTGGAGAAAGGCTGGTTTAGAGCAATGAGGAAGAGGCAACATGATGGAAGTTTGTGAAATTGTGCCTGGCCTGGAAAAAGTGACCAGAGAAGTCCCAGGCATCCAATGAAGCTGAGTGATGGAAGATTCAGGACGGGGGGGGGGGGAGAAAGCCCTTCTTTGCGCATATAGCTATTTTTAATAGTTTAATAATAGTTTTAATATTTAATGCTGTATTGTTTTAACACTCAATTGGGAGCCGCCAAACATAGGGAAGGACACAAACCAATGCCTTCAAGTTTTTTTTTTTTTAAAAAAAGACTAACTAAACATGCGGAAGAACTTTTTGACAGCAAGAGCTGTTAGTGGATAGGATCCCTTGGGAGTGCGGGAATTTCCATCCTTTGAGGTTTGCAAGTGAAATTGGATGGTCATCTGTCATGGATGCTTTACTTGCTATGCCTGCATTACATGGGGTGGAATAGATTGCACCAGGGTTCACTTCCAGCTCCACAATTCTACAATTCCGTGATTCTCCCCTGTATGGGTTCTTTGATGGGAAGTGAGAGAGGAGTTATGAGTGAAGCTCTTTCCACATTCCACACACTGCTAGGGCTTCTCTCCTGTATGAAGTATTTGATGGGAAGTGAGAGAGGAGCTCTGACTGAAGCTCTTTCCACATTCCATGCACTGATAGGGTTTCTCCCCTGTATGAATTCTTTGATGGGAAGTGAGAGAGGAGCTTGTACTGAAGCTCTTTCCACATTCCACACACTGATAGGGTTTCTCCAATTTATGAATTCTTTAATGGGAAATGAGAGAGGAGTTATGAGTGAAGCTATTACCATATTCTATGCACTTATATACAGTGGTGCCTCGCAAGACGAAATTAATTCGTTCCGCAAGTCTCTTCGTCTTGCGGTTTTTTCGTCTTGCGATGCACGGTTTCCCATAGGAATGCATTGAAAATCAATTAATGCGTTCCTAGGGAAACCGCCTTCAGACCAGGTCTGGGGACAGGTCCGGGCGATCTTAAAATGCTGGCGGGCGGCATTTTAAAATCGCCCCGGGACAGCGGAGGACTTCTCCGCTGTCCGGGGCGATTTAAAAGCCCCTGGGAAGGCAGGCAGGGGGGACAAAGACTTTCGCCCCCCGCCCGCCTTCAGAAGGTGTTCCCGCCCCCCCACCCGGCTTCGCAGCAGTGCTACGAAGCCCGGCGGCTGGGGCAGGTGTTCCCCCCCCGCCCGGCTTCGCAGCAGCGCTACGAAGCCTGGCGGCTGGGGCAGGTGTTTTCCCCCCGCCCGGCTTCGCAGCAGCGCTACGAAGCCCGGCGGCTGGGGCAGGTGTCCCCCCCGCCCGGCTTCGCAGCAGTGCTACGAAGCCAGGCGGCTGGGGCAGGTGTTCCCCCCCGCCCGGCTTCGCAGCAGCGCTACGAAGCCCGGCGGCTGGAGCAGGTGTTCCCCCCGCCCGGCTTCGCAGTAGCGCTACGAAGCCCGGCAGCTGGAGCAGGTGTCCCCCCCCCGCCGGGCTTCGCAGCAGCGCTACGAAGCCCGGCGGCTGGAGCAGGTGTTCCCCCCCCGCCCGGCTTCGCAGCAGCGCTACGAAGCCCGGCGGCTGGGGCAGGTGTTCCCGCCCCCCCGCCCCGCTTCGGAGCACCGGGAGAAGCGATCTCCCCGCAGCCCCTTGCTTCAAAAGAGGTCCGGGGGCGCTTCCCGCTGCCCCCGGACCTCTTTTGAAGCAAGGGGCAGTGGGGAGAAGCGATCTCCCCGCCGCCCCTTGCTTCAAAAGAGAAGACCCGCTGTCCCCGGGGCAAGCTTCGTTTTGCGAAGCAAGCCCATAGGGAAATTCGTCTTGCGAGGCAACTCGAAAATGAAAAAACCTTTCGTTTTGCGAGTTTTTCGTCTCGCGAGGCGTTCGTCTTGCGGGGTACCACTGTAGTTTCTTCCCTGTATGAATTCTTTGATGGGAAGTGAGGTAGGAGCTATCAGTGAAGCTCTTTCCACATTCCATGCACTGATAGGGTTTCTCCTCTGTATGAATTCTCTGATGCCTAGTGAGATCGGAGCTCTTCCTGAAGCTCTTTCCACATTCCACACACTGATAATGCTTCTACCCTGTATGAATTCTTTGATGGGAAGTGAGATTGGAGCTCTGGCTGAAGCTCTTTCCACATTCCATGCACTGATAGGGTTTCTCCCCTGTATGAATTCTCTGATGCCTAGTGAGATTGGAGCTCCTCCTGAAGCTCTTTCCACATTCCATGCACTGATAGGGTTTCTCCTCTGTATGAATTCTCTGATGCCTAGTGAGATCGGAGCTCTTCCTGAAGCTCTTTCCACATTCCACGCACTGATAGGGTTTCTCCCCTGTATGAATTCTCTGATGCCTAGTGAGAGAGGAGCTATCAGTGAAGCTCTTTCCACATTCCACGCATTGATAGGGTTTCTCCCCTGTATGAATTCTTTGATGCTTAGTGAGATCGGAGCTCTTCCTGAAGCTCTTTCCACATTCCACACACTGATAAGGCTTCTACCCTGTATGAATTCTTTGATGGGAAGTGAGATTGGAGCTCTGGCTGAAGCTCTTTCCACATTCCATGCACTGATAGGGTTTCTCCCCTGTATGAATTCTCTGATGCCTAGTGAGATTGGAGCTCCTCCTGAAGCTCTTTCCACATTCCATGCACTGAAAGGGTTTCTCCCCTGCATGAATTCTTTGATGGGAAGTGAGATGGGAGCTATCAGTGAAGCTCTTTCCACATTCCATGCACTGATAGGGTTTCTCCTCTGTATGAATTCTCTGATGCCTAGTGAGATCGGAGCTCTTCCTGAAGCTCTTTCCACATTCCACGCACTGATAGGGTTTCTCCCCTGTATGAATTCTCTGATGCCTAGTGAGAGAGGAGCTATCAGTGAAGCTCTTTCCACATTCCACGCATTGATAGGGTTTCTCCCCTGTATGAATTCTTTGATGCTTAGTGAGATCGGAGCTCTTCCTGAAACTCTTTCCACATTCCACGCACTGATAGGGTTTCTCCCCTTTATGAATTCTTTGATGGGAAGTGAGAGAGGAGCTCTGACTGAAGCTCTTTCCACATTCCACGCACTGATACGGTTTCTCCCCTGTATGAATTCTTTGATGGGAAGTGAGATGGGAGCTGTAATTGAAGCTCTTTCCACATTCCATGCACTGATAGGGTTTCTCCGCTGTATGAATTCTGTGATGGGAAGTGAGAGAGGAGCTATCAGTGAAGCTCTTTCCACATTCCATGCACTGATAGGGTTTCTCCCCTGTATGAATTCTTTGATGGGAAGTGAGATGGGAGCTATTAGTGAAGTTCTTTCCACATTCCATGCACTGATAGGGTTTCTCCGCTGTATGAATTATTTGATGGGAAGTGAGATGGTCGCTCCTACTGAAGCTCTTTCCACATTCCATGCACTGATAGGGTTTCTCCCCTGTATGAATTCTTTGATGGGTATTGAGATGGTCGCTCCTACTGAAGCTCTTTCCACATTCCATGCACTGATAGGGTTTCTCCCCTGTATGAATTCTTTGATGGGTATTGAGATGGTCGCTCCTACTGAAGCTCTTTCCACATTCCACACACTGATAGGGTTTCTCCCCTGTATGAATTCTTTGATGGGAAGTGAGAGAGGACCTTGTACTGAACATCTTTCCACATGCAATGTGCTGATAGGGTTTCTTTCCAATGAGATTTCGTTTATGGGAAGTGGAATGGGAGCTCTGACTGCAGCTCTTTCCACACTGCAAATTTTTACGCGCCTTCTCCACTCTGCAGATTATGTTGTGGTCTCCTTTATTCTTGCTTTCCAATTCATCACAATCTGCAATGGAGAGAAAAAGGGATTAGAGCCTCAGGAACAAATGGAGCCCCCAGTTAGGAAATAATGCTCATTAAATTTGTTGTAGAGAAGGCAGTTGGCTGTGTGTTTATTACCTTTGTTATTTGTAATAAACCAATGTATTTATTATTGGATTCTAATCGATGGTTGAATTTTGCTTTGTTTGAAGTAAGTTACTCATTTTAATTTTTTTGTACTTTTTTCATTAGATTAGATTGTTGTTATTATTACTGTTTCATGTTTATACCGTAGCACCTCAGGTTACGTAACCCTCTGGTTACATAAACATCAGCTTATTAAAGCGGCAAATCCATGCGCATGCGCAGAACAGTGATCCTCGGGTTGCAAAAACCTCGGGATCTGGCCGGACCTCCGGAACGGATCCCATTCACAACCAGAAATGCGACTCTATATGTGTTGGAAGCTTCCCAGATTGACTGGAGAAACCCAGCCAGATGGTCAGCGTATACATAAAAAATATTATTATTGCTATTATTAACACTGCTAGTACTACCTGAGATTCAATCAGCCTGGCTCTTCTCTGGGGCAGATGTTCTTTGGCCCAGTCATGGCATCCCCTCCATCTCCAATGTCAGTCATCTCTCTGGCCAACCCAAGACTGACAGCAGCAAAAACAATAACAGAAAACCTTACAGAAGCTACTTATCTTTTCTAACAACTCTGAAGCTGACATTTAAGATGCCTGGGCAGTTCAGATCAGCCCAACTGTGGTAGAGGGTGGCAGAACTGGAGGAAGATTGTTCACAGAAAAAGCTGTAATTTACTATTTCTTCTGGGGGTGTTAGGTTCCCAGGTGTTGTAATGGGCACTGTGAAACTATATGAGGTTTATCACATAGAGGTATTTCTTGAATTTCCTGGCAGATAGGACGATCCCACAAAGAGGCTTACCAAGAGAGGCCACGATCCCCCAATTCTCCTCCATGACGTCCTTATGCAGAGCTCTCTGGTCAGGATCCAGCAACGCCCACTCCTCGTCCGTCAAACGAACAGCGACATCTTCAAAGCACACTGGACCCTAAAAGAAAAAGGGAAATGTCCTCCTCTGAGACAGCAGAAATATGATCTGCTACACAATGCTCTGTTGTTTTCTTCCTGTTAATTGCTGTGTTATTTCAATAAGATTGCTTTGCTGCACATTTTAATTATGGGCACCTATTTTAATGCTTTAATTGAATTCTTTTATTCTGCATTTTAACTATGGGAATTCGTCTTTGTGCAAATAGGTGGTACTCCACCTTGTGGTTTTCAAATCATTCTGCCTACGCAAGCATTCCAGTTTGCAAGATGGAAGGGTTCACTTTCTCCTCTCCTCGTGAGTTGTTCTATAGAGGTTCCCTTCCAATGCCCTAGAGCCAAATTCAAGGGGTTCATGGGGGCATGGAGAGGGGGAGATGAATCCTACTGGCTGTTACGATATGGATACAACGCAGCTGCAAACTGGCAGCTCGGTGTTTACATCACATGATGTGGCTAGCTATGGGAAAGAATGTTCCAGGGATTTCTCAAAGCTTTGTTCTCTGTGTAATATGAGACCTTCCTGTTGCGTTTGTAAAGGAAGTTTGAGTCACTTGCTAGGAGGAGATTGAACTGATCGGACATGTTTTCTGTACAACTGAACAGTCAGAAATAAAAGGATGTAAATAGCTTTCTGACTATCTCCTTTCTCTTGCTGGTATGCAAGGATGGAGGGGGTGTGCATTTTCCACGCTGGGAAATGTCGCCTATCAAGATTTCCCTGGACTGTGGGGATACCAGCCTGAGGAGATCACCGGTAAGAAGCTCCGGGAGCTGGGAGAGAGGCCAGCTTCTCCCGAGGGGGCTAGTTTGCCAACACTGGCAACATTCAGAAGGCTGGTATGACAGAGCTATACGGGCAGGAAATCCCACACTTCACAGCTGGAGTTTACTCTTTATCAGCAAGAACACAATATTCACAGACTTGGCTGAGTTTCAGGCCTTATGAGAACAACAACTCATTCCCTGAGCGTCTTCCTTAACTAAATCAGTTGCCGAGAGTGAAGGCCCCTGGCTGCCCACAGCTTTCCAGGTCCCCTCCTCTCTGGGGATTCTGGCAAGCGACTGAAAAGTGCGCAAGAGTGCAGCCTGCCTTTGCTCCTCCGTTGTCAGACGTTTCCTGGCTCTGAGAGACAAGCAGGGAGTGTTGCTTCTGGCAGAAGGAGAGGGAGCCCCCGGTGGCTCCTCCTTCTCCGGACTCACCTCTGACTCTCGACCTTCCTCTCCCACTCGCCTCCTTCCTCTTCTGCCTCTGATTCTGGACTGCATTCTGCCACAGAGTCTTCCAGCTCACTAAGCCCTGTTACCCCTTCAGCTTCTGACACCTCCTCTTGCCAGTCTTCTCCCTCTGACCACTCATCCTTCCTCCACCTCCACTCCTTCGTCTCTCAGCCATCTTCCCTTCCTGGTTCCCCGGCTGCTTCCTCCCACCATTCCTCTGTGCCCAACCAGTCCATGACATTGCTCCATCCCTCGGCCTCTGTCCCCACAAGGCAGCTTCCCCTGACCTGATCTGGTGCCACAGCCGCTGTTTCACTTCTGCCCCCATGAAAAGATAAATATGGAGATCTTGCTGGCTTCATTCTTTCATCTGCCTCACAGGAATCCAGGTCCATTTCTGCAAAATGATCTCTTTTCTGAAAGAACAACAAAAATTCAAAACAGTAAATGAATGATGAGAAATATTAAAAAGAGAACGACAAAGACAGAAACTTTAAGGATGTTAGATCTCATTCCCAGAAAAAGGATGGGACATCAGCAGACCATTTTTGGATGTTCTCCATCCTGTTTGGAGCCCCTTAGGAGTATCCAGAGGAAAGTCTCTCTCACCTGCTTTCTCTCTGCCTGCTTTCTCTCCTCTGCCTGACTCAGGAGGAAACCTTCGGCCAGGGCCACCGCCTGGGAACTGGTCTCCGCTCCACAGTCCCTCACCCAGCTCTCCATCTCCAGGGGAAGGACAGCCAGGAACTGCTCCAAGATCACCAGGTCCAGCATCTCAGCTTTCGTGTGCCTTTCGGGCTTCAGCCACTGATGGCAAAAGGTGGTAGAGTCGGCTGCAAACCTCTCGCGGTCCTTTGGCCTCCTGGAAGCAGAACTGCCTCACCTGCTGGCTCTGAACCTCTGAGCGGTGGATCTTCTGCACAGAGTTTTCCCAGAATCCCCCACTGCTCCCAGTTTGGATTGCATGGCCTCTTCCTGCTCTAGGGCCAGCTGAATCTTGTTCATCCATCTGTGCTCTCAGGAAGCCTCTGAGAGATCGGAAGGAACCCTTTGGTCTTCTGCCAAGTTCTGTCCCGTCTGAATGAGAAGCTCTAGCAAATCCTACAAAGCAATTACATGTTCTGTTACAAAAGCTGTACAATATCAGGAGAAGAAAAAGGTTCCCTGAGCAAGCATGGATGAGTCTTGCTGGGAACCAGGGTAGGACTGCACCACAGCCCAGACTCTGAGCCATCTTTCAAAAAGGAGGAGGAGGAGGAGGATGACATGGAGTTTTAGGCCTCTAGAAGGGAGATTGTGGAAATGTGGAGGCAAGCAAAGAGATTAATGCGAGGGGAACTCAGCCTGGTTGCTCCTTCCTTCCAGTCAATGCATGAAGTCAGAACTGATTGACAAGGGAGTCATTGGTGCCTCGTGAAAAATGACTAGGTGTGTTGAGTCCGAATCTCCTTTCTTGCAGCTTGAAGCCATTGGTTGGAATCCTGTGCCCAGGTGACATGGCTCTCCCATCTCCTCTCTGTCTCCTCTTCTCCAACTCAACATACCCAGCTCCTCATAAAGCTTGGCTTGATCTGCTTGGCTGGCCTCCTCTGCCAATAAGGAGAAAGAAAGGAGAGAAACAAAGGAAGAGGTTGGGAGCAACCCATTCATTCGTCTTTCCTCTGTTGTGCAATGACGCTGACCCGTGTCACACACAGCAAGAAGTCCTACTGATAGCCTTATTTAAAAGAAGCTAGATTTCTATCTGCTATATTTCCCAGGGGGCTCTGAGTAATTTTTTTTCTGGTAGGGGAAAGGTAACCTCCTCCCCTCCCTCCCCACAAAAGATCTAAAGGAAGGAGACAGTTCCTGCGGACCCTCGCCCCTCCCTGGCAGGACCCCCTGCTCCCAGGGGCTCCCCCCATGGTGCCACCTTGCTGCAGCCCTTCTTCCCACTGCACCCTGGGGGGGGGAGGAAGCGGAGAACTCACCAGATCCCCTTGGAAGAGAGCAAGGCAGCCTTTTGCAGCAGCAGAAAGCAACCCCCCCCCTTGCAGGAAGGGGAGGGAGGGCTTTTCCTCTGGAGGGACCTGCCCCCCTTTACTTCCTGTCTCTCTAGGAATGCAGCTCAGTTCCCTTTAACCCTTGCAAAGCCGAGTCCACCCTGCTCAGTCCTCCTGCCTTTTCTCTCCTGCATGCAGAATCCCAGAGATGCTCATTTTGAGGGGACGCTCTTGGTTGGTCTGTGATCCGCTCCCTCCCTTGGCCCAGAAACTGGAGGAAGAGGTTGCAGGGAAAAGGGGTTTGGCAGGAAGCAAGGACCTCATCCTAGAATGGGAGGGAGGCCCTAAGGGTCATCTATTCCAACCCCCTGCAAGGCAGGAAATCCAGCCAAAGCATCCAACCTCTGCTTAAAAACTCCAAGGAAGGAGAGGTCCGCCATCTCCCAAGGGATTCTGCTGCTCTTCCCGTCAGAAGGTTCTTCCTGCTGTTTAGGCAGCAGAAACTGCTTTCTGGTCCTCTGGGTCCCTTCTTCTGGGTGCTCCCCTCTAGGGCAGGAGAAAACAAGCTGGCTCCCTCTTCCATGGGTCAGCCACCTGCCACAAGACGAAGCAAGATGGAATCCCCGATCAAAAGAGAATCCAAACTTTTATTAGCTGCTCATCCACATGTTATTCACCCCCAGCTACATCACTCATACATCATGAAAGGGGAGGTCTGGTGGCTGTAATCTGAGCATCCTGGACGCTGCCCCATGGTTCCCCTTGCCCTCCACCAAACACCCATCAAATGTAACAAAATAGATACTTACATTTCCCTGTTTCCCAGCCAAGTCAATCACACCCTTTTGTCTCCATCTGGGTTTGTTATTTCTGTCTGGCACTCAGGTATCAGGATGCCAGAAATTATCCCTCAGGCAGAGGGGCTGCTGAATAGCTGAGCTCACATGTCTATATGAATTTCTGAAGTTTTTCAAGTGAGCCAGTACACAGATACATTTATCAGTGAATTCTTACATTTGGTATTGTGCAGCAGAGGCCCTTTGAATAGATAGAAAGAAACTGTGATGAAGTGTTTTGTGGGGACAAGTCACAAAAGTCACAAAAGTGATGGTGCTTATTTTGGTAGTGGGCTGCATGTGCATGATATCTGCTGCAGGGGCAAGCCCCCCCCCAATTATACATAAATTCCTGCAACATTTTGCCTTCCAATGTCCGGCTATACATCTTGACTCATCCTCCAAACTTTGCTGGGGGGCTGTGTTCCCCCTCCCAAAGCAGGGACACACTCTTAGCACCCGAAAGCTGTACCACCTCATTGCTGCTGCCGGGGTGAGAGGGTTTATATAGTGGCGGGTGAT